ATTCTGTGGTCTATTTTTGTGTTGTGAATAATTTTGGTTACTTGTCCAACGACTGTAATTATTTGTTATTTGGCGTTGATTTCTATTGTCTGAATTTACAAATTTACATAACTTATTTTGTTCATGACCCTTTACTTTACAAATATTACAAAACAACGTATTCAATTTTTTTAAAACATTTGGAAAAGACATGCCCTATTTTTTTACAGAAATCCCATGTTACTTGTTTCGTACTTAACTCATGAATTGTACCAATTCTACATTTTAGGCCATTCTTATGACCATATTCACCACAATTCAAGCAGTACGGTGTGTGTCGTCTTGGCAATTCACTCATCCATGTCCTAATTTGTTACAAAAAGCACACCTTGTTTCCGTTAACGACATGTTAATATTACATCGATGTTCCCCTAACAGTTCTTCCGCTGATTCTGCTATGGCCACAAGTTTAGTTATTGTGTCATTCTCCAATCCAATAAATTGGTGTTTCAAGTTATTGTCTCGAAGTCCCTTTATGAAACACCTGACAGCTAAGTGTTTGTACTCTCGTAATTGCGACAGAATTTCCACTTCACCCCCTTGATTTTTTATTTGTGTCTCCGCTTTGTGGAGTAGAGCCTGTAGATGCCCCCCATAAGCGGTAGCAGATTCATTCAGTCTTTGTTTGTTGTGTGCTAAATCTTCTCTGATGTGCTCTAGGGTTCTCCTCCTTAAATAAGTTCGCTTGACAGCTTCGCACAACTCGTTTATTGTAATGTAGGGTCTATTAGCAATATTATCATATGCTATGCCTACTAACCGTTGTTTTACACAACTTATAATATACCTCCAGCTTGAGGTAAAGCTTGTTGCACTAGTTCGCAACCAGCTACAAATTTATGTACCTCACCCCTTAGCTCCGGGTCTTCAGTTCCCCCGAAGTATGGAACCACTTTAAATACTGTTTCCATAATTACACTTATGGACGTCATTTTTCGTTCAGTTTCTAATTCTTTTTTATTTGTGGAACCCTTTTCCGTTATTTCATCACTTATATTTGTTTTGGTCATTAGTTTATTTTCGTCGATATTACATATCTTTTTCCCTTGAATTTCCTGATCCGTCTTATAATAGCTCTAGCTCTTATTTTAACTGTCTTAGTTGTAGCACGAGTTTCTTTATTGTTTCTTCCTTTTCCCTAATTTGGTTTTCTAATTCACTGTCCCCCTCCAGGTATATAGTAATGTCTTTATCTGACTTTCCTTCTCTTCGAAGTGCTTTTTCCAAACTTAAAGTCTGATTTTCCGCGTCTTGAAGTAAAGCAGTTAATTCTTTTGTCTGTAGAACTAGCTGTTTGCATTTATACTCCAAACCACACTTAGCATCTGTCAATTCTTCTAATGTATTCTGTAATTTTGCTGTTTTTATTCCTCCAATTTTTTCTATCTGTTCTTTTATATATTCTAATTCATCTATTTTTGGCAACCTATTATGTCTTATGTAATCTTTAGCTAGTTCAAGAAATTCTTTATCTGGATTTAATTCTACTAGTTTGTCCCACGCTTGATTTAACGTAATTGTTAAATATTTCTTTAGTTTAAATAATTCTTGTTCTAAAGATTTTAATTTCTCCTCCTTCTATGAATTTATTATAAGAAGTTTGAATGAAATTTTTCTTTGTATTTAAAACAAAACTTCATAAAATAGATAGATTTAAAATTCAAAAACTTGTTTATAATCTTTAACCAGATTTTGAACCATAAACTACATAAATCTCAAAATCATAAACCCCAGACAAAAATCTCTAACTTTTATTATTATAAATTATTGTCTTTAAGCATTTTTTTTTATTATTAGCCAACATAGAAAGAAAACATACAGAAAAACAAAAATTGTCGTGAAATAAAAAACCAACATTCATTTAACACATTTACCAACCAACAAAAATTCTTTGCTTGAAACATCAGAAACAAACCAAAATTCTGTTTGCGAAAATATTTTTCACACTTTACTTTAATGCAATATTTTATAACTTATAAATATAATAAATTTTGTACGAATTTGTATTAATTTTTTCAGAAATTTATTTGACTGGAAAAATAAATTAAATTAAAATTCTTTATTATAGTCCTCTATTATTTTTTGTTGCCATTTCCTAGTGGCTTCTTTTCCTAAATGTTTTACTTTGTTAATCTCTAGATTATAAAGAAACTCTCCGCCTTTGTTTTTTAAAATAGATTCTACCGTAATTCTATCAATTAAATCATTCACCTTATTTAATAATTTATCATGAATCCTCCAATGTGATTCAATCTTTTCCTTCCTAACTCTCCCCTCGCATATAAAACAATATGAATACTTCATAATACCCCCAAAAGATAGTCAATAGTAGTCCCATATAAAGAATAGAAAAATGCATAAACTTACTGAAGTTTAAAATCTTAAAATGTAAATTCTTTGGATATTTGAATATCCACTTAATATTAAATAATTAATTATGTAAATATTTACTAATTTCCAAAAATGATTAAAATATTTATTTCCACATTTCCAAAATTATGTGGCTAAATTTTCAAACTAGCTTACTGAATAAAATAATATGAATTTTCATGCTAGCTTACAACTTAAATTTTCATGCTAGCTTACTGAATAAAATAATTTAAATTTTCATGCTAGTTTGTTTACTTAAACATAATAATTATTGTATCACTTACATAGATTTTATAGAATTTTTTTCCGTTTGATGTCATCTTGGAGAAGATCCCTCGTAGATTGATGTAAAAATTAAACTTTGTTATGTATCCCACGTAGAGCGATGTAATATGTTTCACACGTTGAAAAGAGGTTGTTGAAAAGAAGTTCCTTTTCAGGTACCGGCTGCGCCAATGTTGTATTTTGTTTTCTCTGACCCACAATTGTTGTACTTCGATCTCGTATATTCGAATCTCCCAATAGTTTATATTAAACGTTTTGTATATCAAACCATGTATTTTATTTATTTTTATATATTTTATTACATATTTTGTATTATATTAAACATTTTTTAAAATCTTGTCTTGTCTTATTTTTTAAAATCTTCATTGTCTTATATTTTGTTTTCTTTTAGTTTTAGTCACTGAATTAGGTATAAACACCAATTTTATTCTTAGTTAATACAATTAACTTTAAACAAATGTTAGAGCGGTTAAAGTCAAATTGTTAATATTGTAGGATTCTGTAGAATTATTAATTGATGTGTTATATGATTTATATATTATAATTTATTATATTTTAATCTATTGTAAATCATATTGTATAATTAAATTATTATAATTAATATATTATATAATTCATATATATATATAATATTTTATATGGTTAATATATGGTTAATTAATTTATCTAACTAACCCTGTATAAGATGTAATCAAACCAACGGTTCTAAGTCTTGTTTTATTGCCTTTTGTTTTTTGCGCTCGAGATGAGCAAATTTTATTGTTATATTTTTTGGCTGCAAGTAAACTCCGTTGGTTTGATTCTGTCTCTTGTTTTTCGATCGCGAACGTGTCAACACACGGGTACACATAAAAAAGTGATTAAACAATCAATTACCGAAATTGTATAAATTCAATTGTATAAATTAAATGAAATCAAAACCCAATTATAAAAACGTTTATAATTTACATTGTGTTAAAGAAATTGAAATAAAGATCATAAAACCCAATTATAAAAACGCTTATAATTTACATTGGCGACCGTGACAGGACTTTTTGCAATTTTAATAGTGGTTATTAATCTCCAATTTGTTAAAAAATCTAAATATTACCCACGTGTGGTAATCATTTTTTCTTTAAGTTTGTAATCATTAGTGTACGCGTGTGTGCATTTCTTCCACACGGCTATTCTGTGGACTGTCGAACGTATATCCTATTGTGCAATTGGTGGTTCTCGGTTTAGGTCCGCTAACCTCAAAACAGAACCTCGTGTCCGCATCAAGATCGCGCTCGACATTACAACAACAAGATACCTTTACTTGTTGATTGTACATACTTTCGCTTTTATTTTTTTTGGTTAATTTGTAACCATTAAAGTGCGCGTGTGAATATTTCTTCTAACCAGTTATATAGCTAACGCGTGCTAACTATTATAATATATCGTACGTCTATATATACTACATATGTACTATCGTACGTATATACTATTGTCCAATTGGTGGTTCTCGGTTTAGGTACGCTAACCTCAAAACAGAACCTCGTGTCCGCATCAAGATCGCGCTCGACAGTTAAATTCACAACAACAAGATATCTTTACTTGTTGATTGTACATACTTTCGCTTTTATTGTTTTTGGTTAATTTGTAACCATTAATGTGCGCGTGTGAATACTTTTTCTAACCAGCTATATAGCTAACGTGTGCTAACCATTATAATATATCGTACATCTATATATATATTACATATGTACTATCGTACGTATATACTCTTGTGCAATTGGTGGTTCTCGGTTTAGGTTCGCTAACCTCAAAATAGAATCTCGTGTCCGCATCAAGGTCGTGCTCGACAGTTAAAATAACAACAACAAGATACCTTTACTTGTTGATTGTACATACTTTCGCTTTTATTGTTTTTGGTTAATTTGTAACCATAATGTGCTCGTGTGAGTATTGCTCCTAAACGGTTATATATCTAAAGTGTGCTAACTTTAATAATATCGTACATCTGTACATATATACTATATACTATCGTACGTGTGTACTATTGTGCATTCTATGGTTCTCGGCTTCGGTTCCGCTAAGCGCCAAATAGAACCTCGTGGCTGCATCAAGGTCGCGTTCAACAATTACAACAACAACAACAAGATAACTTTACTTGTTGATTACTGGTTATTATTTGCTTCCAATCAGTTAGTGTGCGGGTTCGTCAACGTCGCGTCTGACAACAACCACCGTAAGAACAGTTCAATTTCGTAAAGTTCGCTGCTGCTATTGTGAGTTTTCGACTTCGTCAAATCCTTTGCTGTTCCTAGGTATCTACAACTGTTCCAATGGCAACGGCAGAGCCACCCACTACGGCAGAACTGTCAGAACTAAAACAACAGCGAGCCTCGACGAAAGCGAGCATTTCAAGGATCAAGACGTTCGTCAAAGGAAAGAGTAATTCGCTCTCACAACCAGAACTGAAATGTCGACTAGGTATTTTAGAATCATATTTTAAACAAATCTTAGCTTTTCAGACGTTGATCGAGAAATTAGATGCAACTGACTCAGCTAGAGATGAATTAGAAGACCTATACGTTTCCACCAAAGTATTAATCATGTCTCAACTGCAGGAAGAGGCCCACAATGCATCAGTGCTAGACGTAACAGCAATGATGCCCACCTCAAGTAAAAAATTACCACTGTTAAAATTACCTACATTCAGTGGTAAGTACTCGGATTATAACAATTTTATTAATTCGTTTCTCCAAATCATAGATCGCGAAATATACCTCACAAATATTGAAAAATTTAATCACTTACTGAACTGCCTTACTGGTCAAGCTCTAGAGACAGTACAGGCATTTCCTATTTCGAATGAAAACTATCCAAAGGCTCTGGATAGGCTTAAATCGCGCTATGACAATAATAGCCTAATCTTCGCCGAAAATATCGCGACACTATTTGATCTACCAGCAGTATCGGGTCAGTCAAGCCAACAACTCCGTAGTCTGGTAAACAATGCATCCGCTTTGTATGGTTCACTCTGTTCGCTAGGTACAGAGAAACAAATATGTGAGGCTCTACTTATCTCGCTAATCATGCAAAAAACGGACGCAATTACACGTAGGAAATGGAATGAATCGCGTAACTTTGACACATTACCCAGTTGGGAAGATTGCTCAAAATTGTTGGATAGACATTGCCAGTTTCTCGAATCACTTGACAGTGGAAACGGCAATCAGTCATCATCACAACGTAAACCTAATAGTCTTAACTCCAAGACTAACAGACGCTCAAAACAATACGCATTTGTTGCATCTACATCTAGCAATTCTTGCTCATTTTGTTCCAGCAATGAACACCTAATACAGAATTGTCATCGTTTTAAGGCACTGGAGGTGGTTCAAAGGTTTGAAAAGGTGAAGAGCCTAAAACTCTGCATAAACTGCTTATCGCCACGCCATCATGTGGTTAATTGCACATCAACGTTTAAATGTAAGGTTTGCGCAAAGCCACATCACACTCTCTTGCATCATTCGCAATTGCCAACGAATATTAAGAGCGCGGGATCATCACGACGCACAGAACACGCTGCTATGCCCAACGACAACGTTGCCAGCCATTCCCATCTTAATATGTCATCGGCCGAGCAAATAATTCTAGCCACTGCATTGGTTTTAGTGAAGGATTCATCGGGAAGTTATCAAGTGGGTAGAGCCTTACTTGATTCATGCTCTCAGGTCAACTTCATAACGGAGGAGTTTTCAAAGAAGCTTAGTTTAGCAAAACATAAACATCGGTTGCATGTTTCCAGTATTGGTAGTTCGTTGACCAACATTAAGTATCAGACGCTCACATCAATCAAATCTCGTCATTCAAATTTTGAACTTGCTTTAAACTTTGGTATTACGAATCACATCGCATATCAACCAAGTTCTGAAATCGATATATCGTCGTGGAAGGTTCCACCAAATACACCTCTCGCCGATGAGCAATTCTTTAAATCCAAGCGCGTTGATCTTTTGCTTGGAGCTGAAAGTTTCTTTGATATTTTGTCTGTCGGTCAAATCAAACTAGGTGAAAATCTTCCAGTACTTCAAAAAACACTATTAGGATGGATTGTATCTGGCAAGTACAAGGGTCAGCCATTTGCATCACCAGCAGCAAAATGCCTATTATCAGTTGAAGATACAGTCTCCGATCAATTAGAAATGATGTGGAAGATAGAGGAAGTGCAACCGGCTTCAAAGTCATGGTCACCAGCACATGTTGCGTGTGAGTCATTATATCGTGAAACGGTCCACCAAAATGCGATGGGAAGAATTGTCGTTCGGTTACCATTCAAAGATTCGCCAGATTGTCTTGGTTTGACACACAATATCGCCTTACGCCGTTTTTGTTCTGTAGAACGGCGATTGTCATCTAATCGTGCACTGAAGCAAGACTATCAAGAATTCATGAAACAATATCGAGAGCTCGGACACATGACGCGTGTTGAGACTCCGAAAACCAACGAACCACATTATTATATCCCTCATCACTGTGTTTTAAAACCGTCGAGCACTTCGACCAAGCTGAGGGTGGTTTTTGATGCGTCATGTCCAACAACTTCGCAACGTTCATTAAATGATATTCTACTGGTCGGCCCGACAATTCAGCCGGAGTTATATTTGTTGCTACTTCAATTTCGTTTGCACCGATATGCCTTGACGGCTGACATTGTTAAGATGTACCGACAGATACTGATAGATGAACCAGATCGAAAATTCCAATATATTTTTTGGCGAGATACGGAGTCCGATCCTGTTAGTACTTACGAGTTGAATACAGTCACTTATGGTACTGCATCAGCACCTTTTCTAGCAACCAGGAGTTTGCAGTATTTGGCGGACAAATTTGAAACACAATACCCAATAGGCGCTGCACTCATTAAATCATCGTTCTTTGTCGACGACTTCTTAGGTGGAGCAGATTCCATTGATCAACTCACCAATATCAGACATCAGTTAACGGCCATTCTACAGAAGGGTTGCTTCGATCTTGACAAATGGCATTCAAACCATCATGACTTCATCAGCGATACTACAACAAAGAGTTTGAATCTTGATACAGATACAGTCACCAGCGCCCTAGGCATCAAGTGGCACCAAATGCAAGATGTTTTCCTATTTTCGTTCAATGCGCAACCAGGTCAAATTGTAACAAAACGCACCATTTTATCCCTTGCGTCTTCATTATTCGACCCGCTTGGATTACTAGCACCGATCATACTCGTAGCAAAAATTATGATGCAAGAATTGTGGCTTTTGCGTGTGGACTGGGACGAGTCAGTCCCTCAAAATCTTCACTCAGCTTGGAAAACATTTATTCAAGATCTTACAACGCTTTCATCGGTTAAGGTGCCGAGATACTGCCTATCCATAAACTATCAACAGGTTGATGTACACGGCTTCTGTGACGCTTCAATACGCGCATATGGTTGCTGTATATTTCTCCGATCACAAAACACATCAGGTAAGGTGACGGTCAGGCTATTCACTGCAAAATCCCGTGTGGCACCTATAAAGCGGAAGTCGCTACCTAAACTAGAACTCTGTGGTGCCTTACTTCTTGCCAAACTGTATCAGAAGGTCCAACCAATATTTGCGCAATTTAAGGGTGAAACGTTTTTTTGGACTGATTCACAGATTGTATTACATTGGTTGAAGCAGCACTCATCAACCCTGTCTGCATTCGTTGGCAATCGAGTAGCGGAAATTCAAGATATTACCGCAAATGGGCAATGGAGACACGTTCCTACCCAATCCAACCCGGCAGATGTTGTGTCGCGCGGCTGTAACATCCGCCAATTATCAGAGTCTTGTTGGTTTACGGGGCCGGAATTTTTGTTACTCGCTGATAAATACTGGCCGCATTTGAAATGTCACAACCTGGATATGGAAGAAGTCAATAAAGAGACGCGAAAGGTTGTATTCGTTAACACAAATGAAGACAACTACGTATTACAGGTATTGTCAAGATATAGTTCATACACTAAGATGCTACGAGTAATAGCGCAGGTACAGCGTTTTTATCATGTAACCAAGAATAAATTGAAGAACGGAGAATGTACCCTCCAACCTATTCAGCTACAAAAGGCATTGCACTGTATTATTTGGGTCATCCAACAGCAATTCTTCGAAATTGATATACAACGCCTACAACGAGGGAACCCAGCCGAAGGTACATTAAAGCATCTAAATCCCTTCCTGGACAATGTATTCGGTTATCAATTACTAAAGGTGGGAGGTCGCCTCGAGCTGAGTGACATCTCAGTAGGCCAACGTCACCCTATTTTGTTGCCGAAGGGCTGTTATTTTGTGGAACTTTATGTTCGGCATATACACTTGTGCAACTATCATGCAGGCGCAAAAGCACTAATTGCCCTTACTCGACTAAACTTCTGGATAATTAATATTCGAGAAATTGCACGCCGAGTCGTGCACTCGTGTATTCACTGCGTGCGTTATAAACCCAAACTACTTAATCAAATGATGGGTAATCTCCCAATCGAACGCCTCACTCCAAGCCGTCCATTCGCGCGTACTGCGGTAAATTTTTGCGGTCCGATATTAACGTATCTCCGAATTCGGGGACGGGTTCCATATAAGACCTATATAGCCGTGTTCGTTTGTTTGTCTACAAAGGCAGCTCATCTAGACGTGTCAGACTTATCTACGGAGGCATTTATTGCAGCACTGAAAAGGTTAATCGGTAGACGAGGGTTACCATCAGACATCTATTGCGATAACGCCACAAACTTCGTTGGGGCTAACAACAAACTAGCAGAGTTAAAAAGGATGTTTTTCGAGAAGTCTAATCAAGTGATGCTGCAGACCTTTTGCAGCAACCAATTCATAAATTTCAATTTTATACCGCCCCGAGCACCTCACTTTGGAGGTCTATGGGAAGCGGCTGTAAAAAGCGCGAAAGGCCATCTGTATCGAACACTATCAAATACTCGACTCACCTTTGAGGAGCTTGGAACAGCACTGATTGAAATCGAAGCTATCTTAAATTCGCGACCAATCACACCTCATTCTTGTGACCCGAGCGATTATGAAGCGCTAACGCCAGCACATTTTCTTATCGGTGGGCCGCTCAAAACTTTATCTGAACCAAGTCCTCAGTATGAAGCTACTTCATTAATTGATAAATGGTCTCGTATAACCGCAGTCAAACATCACTTCTGGCGCAGATGGTCTAGAGACTATCTGAATGAGCTGCAGATACGCACCAAATGGACAGAAGAACAATCTAACATCACCGAGGGGGCTCTGGTTCTAATCCATGAAGACAATATGCCTCCACTACGCTGGTTGATGGGCCGAATCGTGCATTGCATCAGGGGTCCAGATAATTTGGTTCGTGTTGTTGATGTGCAAACCCCAAAGGGAGTAATACGCCGTCCAATCCACAAACTCGCACTATTACCAATTGAAAATCCTTTCAAGGGGGGCGGAATGTTAGAGCGGTTAAAGTCAAATTGTTAATATTGTAGGATTCTGTAGAATTATTAATTGATGTGTTATATGATTTATATATTATAATTTATTATATTTTAATCTATTGTAAATCATATTGTATAATTAAATTATTATAATTAATATATTATATAATTCATATATATATATAATATTTTATATGGTTAATATATGGTTAATTAATTTATCTAACTAACCCTGTATAAGATGTAAT